CTCTAAGACTCTGTCTTGGATCATTTAGAACTTCTCCAGTTGATAGTCTCTATGTTGAGGCAGATGAGCCTTCCCTTTCCCAACGCCGTATTGAATTATCTTTACAATATATTACCAAACTATATTCTAACGAATCTAACCCTGTATTTAACTGTGTCTTCACTCCTCTTTAGGAGGATTTGTATAACAAAACGCCTTCTCTTGTTCCGCCTCTTGGGCACAGAATTAAACCATTCCTTTCTGCTGCTGAAAAATATATCTCCTTCTCGTCTTCTTTCTTCTCCTCCTTGGCAATTGGTGAGGCCAGACATTGACTTAACATTAACCACATTTAAAAAATCCGAAACTAATGATTTACAGTATAAACAAGAATTTAGTCAATTAAGAAATAAATATAATACCTATAAATCCTTATATACAGATGGATCCAAGGATGGTGGCGCGGTTGCTTGTGCCACTGTCATTGGGTCCAAAACAATATCTTCCAGACTACCCAATGACAGTTCAATTTTCACAGCAGAAGCAAACGCAATACTAACAGCTCTTAAATATGTTAATAAACACCGTAAATATAAACAATATATCATCTTTTCAGATTCTCTTTCGTGTCTTCAGGCTATTAAAAATCTTTCTTGCAAACATCCACTTTTATTAGAAATTGTTGAATTGTACAATGCACTTGCTACTGGCCAATGCGACATCGTCTTTTGTTGGTTACTCAGCCACGTTGGCATTTCTGGGAACACAATGGCTGATATTGCTGCTAAGGCAGCACTCAACAAATCTGTGACACCACTTCTGATCCCATACTCTTATTACAAAGCTGCTATAAGATCTTATATCCGTGATCTGATGCAAAAGAAGTGGGACACCCAAGTAGGTATCAATAAATTACATGCAATAAAACCCTATATCGGTTACACTTACTTGGGTTTTCAGTCCAGATTTGAAGAGGTCATTATGCGACGATGTCGTATTGGCCACACTAGTTATACGCATGAGTACCTATTAAAAGGTGAGGATCCTCCGTTGTGTATCCCTTGTGATGAACGAATCACGGTCAAGCATGTCTTACTTGACTGTGTTGAGTACTCCATCACAAGGGATATATATTTCAAATCCCGAACTATGAAGAATCTTTTTACTAACATAAGTCCTCATTTAATTATTGCTTTTCTAAAAGAATTAAAATTGTTAACAGATTTGTAAATAGATAAATATTTTATGATTGGAAGTTTGAATTAGTAACATAGATTGTTAGTGGCTGTATCCTCGAGGGGGGTTAAAGTACTGTAACATTATTGTCCTCCTGAGAGGGTACGTAAGTCTCAAAACATTCAAAGTAAATTTCAACTTTCCGTTTTTTAATCGTAGAATACTTGTAATTTTAATGTATGGCTAGATATGTCTTAATTGCTAACGGCTGAGGGGATGATACAAATCCAGCTAGGGCCCATGCAGGAAGCTAATGTACTGTAAGTCCCCATGGTCCCTAGTATAGTGATCTACCTTCAGTTGTTAGCGATCTATAGCCCATTTTTAGATTGTGTTGTCCCCTATGGTTAAAATGTTTTAGATTCAATTACTAGTTTTACATATATATATCTGTGATACTCTTGTTGCTTTACTGTCTTTCGATGACAGGTTTTATAATATATACATATTCCATTACAATGTAAAATGTTCTCGTCACGATATGGCTGAAATATTGCCGATGTGACGTTAAATATTAACTCACTCACGTCACGATATGGCTGAAATATTGCCGATGTGACGTTAAATACTAACTCACTCACTCATTTTATATTGTATTGTCTCCCTAAATAAAATAGTTTTACATGTTCATGCTAGTTTTAGAATCCATCTGTGATACTCTAGTTATTTTACAGTCCTTCGATGACTGATTATTTAGCAACTTAATTTATTGTTTATATAAAACATTTCTCGTCACTATATGGCTGAAATATTGCCGATGTGACGTTAAATAATAACTCACTCACTCACTCATTGTGTTGAAGTTGCATATGAATGTTATACACCTTACAGCCGTAACCCGTGAAGATCCGGTTTAGAATTGATCTTCAGTAATCTATGCTTGTCATAAGAGGCGACTAGCCGGATCGGGTGATCAGGCTCGTTGACCTATGTCATCGGTTCCCAATTGCGCAGATCGATGCTCACGCTGCTGATCACTGGATTGTCTGGTCCAGACTGGTTTATTTACAGACCGCCGTCATAATATTGCTGGAATATTGCTGAGTGTGGCGTAAAACTAAACGTAGTTTAATGTAGTAAAACTCAATGTAGTTTTATTTTCGTGCTGATTGTTTGTAAATTTGAATTGATCTCAGTATGTTGTAAAAAAACGGAAAAGGGAAAATGAGCAGAAACGACCAACATGCTTCCAAACATTTAATTTAATTAACAGTAAAATTTAGTAGTCACCTTTATTTCAAATGTAAATGTTTGCATACATTTTCTCCAACTAGGGTGGCATCTTCACAGGACAATATGAGTAATGATACGTTTTGTCACAATATCACATATAGCATCATCTAAGTACATGTGCATCTAGGATTAACTACGTTGATGATAATTTTTACACTGTCTAAAATAAACTGTCATACACAATTTTAATTCTAGAGAAGACATTTACATAGCGAAATATGAGTTGGGTTGAGTCGAGTCGGGTTTTACATCACATCGGCATTACTCCAGCCATATAGTTACGAGAACAAGTTTGCATTAGTAAACATTGTAAGTACATACTCGGAATGATTTTATTTCAAAGACATATATTGATTACATTGTCATTTAAAAGCAGAGAAAGTCATAGCATCAAATGTAAAGGCAGGCAATTTGTTAGTGACATTTCACAGTTACAATTTATGATAGTTACATTTCACAGTTACAATTTATGATACAGATCAACTTCCCTCAGGTAGTTCACTATGAGATGAGCGCTCACACGGGAGAACAGATCTTTTAGGTTTGTTGCATCATAATGTGAGGCCCTTGCAGACGATAAGTCCACGCATTGAAGCAGAATATGCTTGATGGTGAAAACCTCATCGCAAGAGACACACATGGGGGGTCCATCCCCATCCGTTTTCAGCAGATAGTCATGTGTAAATCGACTGTGGGCAAGATGACATCGTCGTAAAATTACCTCATCACGTCTTCACTGACAACCCAAGTAGATATAACCGATTGTTGGCTTCAATTCATGGAGTTTGTTTCTTCCTACTTGAGTGTCCCACCTTTTTTGCATCAGGTCCCGAGTATAGCTTTTGATAGTGGGTTTGAAATCACTGTACGGGATTAGCAGTGGAGATAAGGGCTTGTCAAGATCTGCTTTTGCTGCAGCATCGGCCTTGGTGTTACCTGCTATACCGACGTGGCTCGGCAACCAGCAGAGGACGATGTCACATTGGCCAGTAGAAAGGTCGTTGTAAAGTTTTAATATGTCCAGTAAAGTCACATTTTGAAGTGCTTGAAGGCAGGATAATGAATCTGTAAAACGATGAAGTTTTTGAAATGTTTTTGCTGTTGAATGTAGGTCAAAGCTGAGAAGATAGCTTTGGCTTCAGCGGTGAAAATGGAACTGTTGTCGGGGATCCTAGAGGAGACAGTCTTGGATCCAATGACTGTAGCGCTGGCAACGTGGCCATCGTCCTTGGATCCGTCTGTGAAAATGGAGCTATGGGTGTTATACTTCAAACGCAACTTGTTGTATTCCTGTTGAAACACCAAAGGATTTGTTTCAGACTTTTTGAGTTTGGTGAGGGTAAGATCGACCTGTGGTTTCACCATTTGCCATGGTGGTGAGGACAGAAGTCGGTAAGGTGCAATGATGTTGAGATCAATTTTAGCTGCAGATATGTGTAGTTTGATCCTGATTCCAAGTGGTGGAACCAGGCTTGGCAGTTTAGGAAATAAGTTTTCATAGAGCGGGTTGAAAACACAATTGTATGCTGGATTGGACTCATTTGAACGTAATTTAGTGATATACTGCAGTAAGTGTTTAATGCGGCGTTGTTCAAGGGAAGTTTCATTTGCCTCCGCATATAGACTGTCTTCCGGAGAGGTCCTAAAAGCTCCCAGGCAGAGCCTCAGCCCTTGGTGGTGGATAGAGTCTATTTTTTCTAAATTGCTTTTGCAGGCTCCACAGTAGACAATGGAGCCACAATCTAGTTGACTGCGAACTAATGATCTGTACAAGTGAAGGAGGGTGGTCTGATCCCCTTCCCACTCTGTATTTGAAACTACTTTTAGCAAGTCTAGAGCCTTCAAGCACTTTGTTTTCAAATATTTTATGTGTGGTAAGAATGTCAGGTGGCGGTCGAATATGAGTCCAAGGAATTTGTCCTCTTTTACTACCTTGATGGGAGGACCATCTAAAGTAAGGTCTGGATCCTGGTGTGGTTTGTATTTACGACAAAAGTGAATACAATTTGTTTTGGAATTTGAGAACTTAAAACCATTTTTTATTGGCCCATTTTTGGATTTTGTTAAGGTAGAGTTGTAGCTGCCTTTCTATTGCGTGCATGTTCTTACCACGACATGAAGTATTGAAGTCATCCACGAATAGGGACCCATCAATGCAACTGTTCAGAAGGTTAGTGAGGCTATTAATTTTGATGCTAAAGAGTGTGACAGACAGGATACTGCCTTGGGGGACGCTCTGATCTTGGTGGAAATAGTCAGACAGTGTGGAACCCACCCGAACTTGAAATTGTCTGTTGTTTAAAAATTGAGATATGAATTGAGGTAGTCTACCCCTCAATCCAAATTCGTGTAAATCTGTTAGGATACCATGTTTCCACGTTGTATCATGTGCTTTTTCTAAGTCGAAAAAGATAGATACGGTATGTTGTTTGTTGACAATGGAGTTTTTGATGAATGATTCCAGACGCACCAGATGGTCAATGGTACCTCGTTTTTTTCGGAAACCACATTGGAGGTCACTCAGGAGATTATTGGTCTCCAGGTACCAGATTAATCGATTGTTGAGCATGCGCTCCATGATTTTGCAAACGTAGCAAGTTAGTGATATAGGACGGTAGCTTGAGGGATTAGATCCCACTCTTGAAGATTCATGATCAATTCATTTGCACTTCTTGAGGAATTTTTAAAAGATTTATTTTATCTTATGAAACATCAGTAATTATGGAAAGCCGAATGTTTCCTGAATTGTGTGGAGTTCGAGACAGTGTTTAAAAGCCTTAAATTAAAAGGTCGTGAAAGTCATGAAATTCAGTTCAGTGGAATTTCACAAACGTAATATTCAAGACTTGAACACGGTGCATCATTCCACTTGTACTGCAGACGTATGTAAAGAACGACGCAACTGCCATCCCCGCTGGGTTCTCCAGATCCCCAAGCTTGCGATGTGACGGGAGTGTTGTCAAGCCATTGCCACTCTGAATTTTTTCGGACTCCAATCCAAAATGCACCTGCAATCAAAATCGAAAGTCATCAATACAGTATCACAGTTACCTTGTTGTCTTCCACCACCGCATTACGCATATCAAGACTGTGTGTTTGTAACCGTGTCGTACCATAAGCAAAACACCACGGTGATCCTGTTAAAATTGGCATTCAACAACTTGTACTTGGTATGAGAGGCGACTAACTTGATCGAATGGTCAGGCTTACTGACCAGGTTGATAAATGACGTCGCATACTAGAGATGTAGATTATATCACTATGTCAATCACTACAGACTCGATTACTGCAACAGACTCGATTACTTCGATATCTGTATTTTCTGTACTGTAATGTAGGCCATAGACCCATAATTACCACAATGGTTACAAGCTTACTACTTTTCCCTTGAGGGATGTATAACAGATAATTACGACAATGGTTACAAGCTTATTAGTTTTCCCTTGAGGGATGTATAACAGATAATTACGACAATGGTTACAAGCTTACTAGTTTTCCCTTGAGGGATGTATAACAGATAATTACGACAATGGTTACAAGCTTATTAGTTTTCCCTTGAGGGATGTATAACAGATAATTACGACAATGGTTACAACCTTACTAGTTTTCCCTTGAGGGATGTATAACAGATAATTACGACAATGGTAACAAGCTTATTAGTTTTCCCTTGAGGGATGTATAACAGATAATTACGACAATGGTTACAACCTTACTAGTTTTCCCCTGAGGGATGTATAACAGATAATTACGTCAATGGCTACAAGCTTACTGGTTTTCCCTTGAGGGATGTATAACAGATAATTACAACAATGGTAACAAGCTTATTAGTTTTCCCTTGAGGGATGTATAACAGATAATTACGACAATGGTTACAACCTTACTAGTTTTCCCCTGAGGGATGTATTACAGATAATTACGTCAATGGTTACAAGCTTACTGGTTTTCCCTTGAGGGATGTATAACAGATAATTACGGATGTACAATCGGGAGGGTGCAGAGCGTTTTACATTTGCATAGTAAATATTCATAGCAGTATTTCTAATACCTTCAATATTTGATGATGACATTAGCATATTAAATTATGTAAAGATCGATACTTGTAAAACCTTTCTGCAATATATCCAATCCTTAAGTCATAATAATAATCACACAGTAATAAAAAATGATGTTAATTTTCATTACATTGTCTATTACAATATTCACACATTTTTTTTATCAGGCTGCTCTTTATTGTATATACATACCGGTTTCAATCCTAAGGTTATGAGATCCACATCTAAATCTTGCCATAGTTATCCTAAACTTATCTATTTGTACACACCTTAGATACAATTCTCGCCCGAAACAAGGCTTAAAAAGAGCATATAAGTTTGTTTTATGACTTTCAAATATAAAAGAGTGCCATTTTTGAACATTACAAAATTTTGATCTAGAATCCAACTCTGTAAAGAACTTTTGTCTGTTACTAATAGACTGCGATTCCCAAATATATCCAAAACCTAAAGGATAAATCAGATGTTTAACATTAGATACCCAATTTACTTTACCAGATTCTGCCAATTTTAATAACATATCATATGCCAACTTTACATATCTATTTTCTTGCAGAGATACGATGCGTACCCAGAATTTAATTATTCTTATATGAATAAGGATACTTAAGGGGTAACGTCCACATTCCCCATTTACAACATGATTTGGAGAATTTCTTTTTATTCCTAATAATCGTTTGCATACTTCTAGATGAACCACTTCAATCTCATTTATGCTAGCAAAGCCCCAAACTTCAGACCCATATAGCAATATAGGTATCACCTCAGAATCGAAAATCTTGAAAAAAGCCATCAAATGGTAACGGTTTTAAGTTATGCATAGATTTTAATATACCATAAACAACCTTTTTGGCTTGCAATGCAGCATTATGAACCTGATACTCCAAGATAATGTCTTAGAAGAAAACTACTCCAAGATAAGTACACACACATTCTAATCTAATACCACTTTTCAATATTAGATATAATTGCTCCATTTTTAAACACTCCTACATTCCTTTTTTCTTAATTTACCGTGAAATGATATTGAATACAATACTTATCTAAAACACACTCTGGAGCCCCACAACAGCATCAGCTATTAATATTATATCGTCTGCAAACATATCTTTAGAAAGCTTATTAATAAGAAAACGAAAACAAAAAAGGAATTAATATGCATCTTTGGCGGACACCTGTCCTACAATGAAACTGTTCTGATAAATAATCTCCTGGTTTAACACAATCTTTAAAGCAATTATAAATAGAATATAGAGTCCAATACATCTTAGATGATAAACCACTTCTGCAAAGAACCCTAAAATCAAACGCTTTTCTAAAATCGACAAAAAACGCATAAATCTTACCACGTTTTTTGCAAAGATACTGTTCTACCATGGACTGTAAATCAAAAATATTATCCAAAGTATTATAGCCGTTCCTAAAGCCAGCCAGACATTTTTTCATAAGCGTTTGATAATGTAATACTAATCAATAATGTAATACTATTGTACAAATCTTACATAATACACTAAGCACAGTTACTCCTCTATCATTATTGGGATCAGGCTGACTACCCTTCTTGTGAATAGGAATTAAAACTCGACCAGGCTCGATTACTGGTATAGATTTGCACACAGCCATAATACAGCTGGAATATTTGCTACTCGAATCTCATGATGTGTACTTTTATTTGTTCTTGCTCATCCGAAACTACAACTTTCCGAATTGGTGATCATAATTCATTGTTAATACATTCAGAAATGTCTGTTTGCCGTCTTTGCTTATGTTCCTTGACGACCACTCTCCAAAAGGCATTGAGTATTCACACCTTAATACAGTTGATCTGCATTAATAATGTTTCCACTTTCTCGCCTGTAAGGCCTTTGTCAACAACAAGTAGGCTTCCGTGGCTACAATTGACTAATGTTTGCATGCGTTTATGACTGGCGACACCGATTGGGCAGGATATGCCCAGCTACTAGAGAACATCTGGCATCATCATTTTTCGATTTATGAACACATGCTTGTGATATACTGCTTACTGATTTCACACTGTAAAGGGTTCTGCCGTGTATATTTATCTTAGATCAACCCTTGACAGCAGCGTTGATTGTTTGATCAAAAGACTACGCTCTTGTGTACCATACTAGGCAAAAGAAAGTTATCACCGCCTTCGCTGGACTAAAACAAGAGAAACATGGACGGATGTGAGATGTATGATAACCATATTACAAACAGAAATCATTTTCTGATAATTTGACATGTAAAGTTCATTCAAAAACTCCATAAATAGACACATAATGAGGCAGGAGTCAGGGCACATGGTAACAACATGTTAACCACCCTGAGCATTCATACACTCCAACACACGTCTCCTCATTGACGTCGTCAGTCAGCGGACGACGTCAGCAGGAATCCTGTTCCATAAGTCCAAAAGAGTCTGTTCCTGTTCCAGGAGCTCGGTATGTTGTCAAGTTCGGTACAAGTTTCTCAACGTTAGCCGGCTTATTGTTTCCCAGCAAGTTTCGTTGATATTCAGACATCCAGTCTGGGTTCACCGTCAATCATTCGGGAGCTAGCGGATAGCCGTTGTGCGATTTGTGTAACTCTCGGGGGTAGTCCACTTCGAGTATCTAGCCTCTGTTCGAATCTGGTGCCTTGCTTTTGATGTCGATATCAGTTGGGAGACCCATTCGAATCCTCCGGTGGGGAGATATGGACTCATGTCCCAGTCGTACAGGTTGTTGGACTAGTTTTAGTCACGATATGGCTGAAATATTGCCGATGTGACTTTAAATCTTAACTCACTCACTCACTCACTCACAGGTTGTTGGAGTCGAGATAGATGATGTGTTTGGTCAGTTTGCTCGGGTCATGACCTGGAACGTACTTGTTGTTGGCTTTGGCATACCGTTTGGATGTCATGGAAACAGACCTTTCTCCACGAACAGGTGCATGTCGTAATCCATCAGTAGTTTCGGTTCCACGTCTGTCTTTTTCAACTAGGCACCCATGAAGGGGCACCTCCTCGTGGTGGGTGCTGGGTCACGCTAAGCGCCCTTCGACCCCCGTTGCGGACCCGGGGGGATATTTGGTCCACCAACCCGTTTGCCGTGGGTTGCGCCCCTGTGTCGGTGGAGGACGGGATTCTGGTGGTTGAGGGCAATAGGATCCTGGAACCGTGTTCCTATTGCCCAACACACCACTTCGACCCTTACTTCACCTAGACGGGTGGTAGAATGGGCCCGGTTCTACCAATCGGCTGGTCATGCCAAGCCCTGTGCATGAATTGTATGCATATCATTATTTGATTCTATAATATGTTTTGATTGGTCTTGGCCAACGTATTTACGTTGTCAAAATGAAATCTGCCTAGAGTCTCATGCCAGAAGGCGGTGGCTCATGGGCCAATTTGGTGATGTTGTCCTCCGAAATCTGCATGTTTCCAATTTCTTGTTTTGGGCGAACCAACCAAACATTTACTTTGGTAAACTACCGCAGCTTTTCGCGTCATATTTGCTGAAGTATACCATCCCTGTATCCCCGGTGTTTGCATGTTGGAGATCCGATGCTATTAAACACCGCTCATTTTGGCACTCCATGGTGGGTGGGGAGCAGGGATGCTGAATCACATTACTTCCACCATGGCTCAACAAAACCCTGGTTCAAATAGATCTAAACGTAGACATGTAGAAACTGATGAAACTGGTCACAATGTAAATGTCTGTCCTGTACTTGATTCATGGGCTCGATTTGTTGTTATCGAGGCAGCAGATAAACAACCAATTAAACTTAATCCATTCGCGATTTCAAAAGCTGTTTCAGGAATTTGTGAGTGAGTGAGTGAGTTAAGATTTTAAGTCGCATCGGCAATATTTCAGCCATATCGTGACTAAAGCAAGTTATAAATATATCAACAATTTAAGTGAAATTATAAAATTCTGCCGACGAAGGACAATAAAATAACTAGATTA